ATTCTGAAAACATAAACTTTTGTGGTACAAACAAGATGTCTTGTACAAAGTAAATCAATAATTTCCACCGACATTATCGGTCACATCATGTCTTCTCTACAAGTCCTTTGGAAGAAAACTGACGGAACCCACCTGAAGACGATGGTGAATTAGGTAGCTCGGCATGAATCTTGGAGTCTTCTTCCCCTCCAACCTCATCTTGGACAGAGGAGCCACCTAAATCTCCTACAAAGTAAACCAAAAAAAAAAAAAAATGTCAACATACATAGATAGAAAAAAAATCTTATAAAGAAGCACAAAGTGATTCAGTAGTACAGTAGATGCACATAATTTTCCTTCAAAAGGTTATCCATATCATGTAAGAAGCACAACGAGCAAAAAAAGGAAGTACATCCTCATGAAAGCCCTGCAGACATGCAACTTAACACATGAGACAATTATCATATGGGATAAGCTCAAGTGGATACAAGTATACACACAGGATTACTTTTTCCTTTTTTTATTTTATTTTGTGAATTTATGGGATTTAACCTCGGTACTCTCTTAGTGTTGGATTTATTAAATATCTTAATACCTTACCATTTTAAAAAAATTCCCATAATGATCTTCGACATGTAATCAAGTCTATACCAGCTAGGTTCAAATACAAGTAACTAACTAACAGAGAGACAACTGCAATAGCGACTAGAAAAGGCAGAGACTCTCAAGTCTCAATCACAGTCAAAGAAGGCTTAAAAAGTTGCTGGTCAAGCTCATGCAATGCCAACGTCAATGAAAAACTTATACCAGTTTTTAAAAAGGGCTCAGAAGGTGAAAATAAGGAGAAAAAAATATTTCATGATTGTGTTTTATTCAACATTCACAAAATTCATCCATCAACATCTCTGGAAAGGAAAAATGACAGAAAAAGTTTTGCCAGATCAGGAAAACAAAACAAGCAGTACAATCAGAAAAAGCTAAAAACTTAAAGCTCATTAGCTAACATCATTCTCTTTATTAGAGAAAATAAAATCAATCAACTATGCATCTCTCTAAATGCATGAGGTAAATTGTATGAATTATACAAAACTCATGTTCCCTTCAAAATCCTTATTAGTTAATAATCGATTGGATATACTTACTCTGATGGTAAATTAGATATTCAAATAAATAATATTAAAGCAAATGACTATGCATTCATCGAAATTACTCTAAATTTTTTTGCTGGATATTAATCCACGTAACTATTCTTCATTTGGATTCAAAACCGACTAAGCCCACCAAGTTTATCATCATCGTCATACTCTAAATGGGAAGCTCCTAAATCCAAAGTTGAAAAACAAAAATGTCCATCAAAAATTGATGAACCATTAATTCTACAATAATTTTGTACAAAAATGTAAATATACATTATAATGAATTTATTAAGTTACTGAACATCTTTTTATGTATACAGTGGATATGAACATCGAAATTAAAGTCGGAGCATTGCTTCTTGCCATCTTGAAAGATGTATTAATTACTTTATCAAGTTACTGAACATCTTTTCATATAAACAATGTATATGAACATGAAAAGTCCAAAAAAATATAGAATTATGCGACGACATTAATTCTTGTAATCTTAAAGGATACATAAATTATTTATTTATTGTTATTATTGAGGATAAGTCATAAAAAGTTGTTTTAAGCTATATACAATGAAAAAACAAAGGGCTGACAACAACTTAGAATCTCTTTTTTTTGTCCATTCTTAAAATTGCCTTCAATAACGTCTCCTCTCATTAGGGGTGCTTATGGGTCAGGTCGGTCAAATGTCATATATTATCACTTTGTAAACATTCTAAATCGATCAATAATGAATTGTCATCATCGAAGTGTGAGGCAATGAGAATTCAAAAGGCCCTATTCATATATTATTATATGTGCTTAGTACTTTCTACAAAGTTTAGAGTTCTAACATTATCATCAAGGCTAAGGCCACATGCATCTACTTTGTTGTCAATCCATCTGGATTATAAAATTTAGAGGTATTAACGTAATTTTAGTTAATGGATATACATCCTTTTTTGTTACCGTGATCAAACTTTAATCTCATTTAATATTTAATGTATTAATTACTTTTATTATTAGCTTATTTGCATTTTGGATATTATGGGATTAAAAACTTGAAGTTTCAGCTATAGTAAATACCTGTAAATTGTGAGGGTTTGACTGAGTAAAGAGGAATATTTAATTATAGAGTACAGGCGGGATTTTATGGTAATCTTATTACTATTTATTCTAATTTGAATATGTTCCAAAATTCGAACAACCTATCCTACTTTTGGATGCTTGGGGATAAGATAAATATACATTTATTGTGCTTTGTTTGTACGTTCTGCGAAAATGTATATATTTCTTCTACGTGTCTTGCTAATTTCTTTTAAGGCATTTACATGCATTTATTAATTTTAAAGCATGAAAACATTGAAATATTACCCTTCGGGGTGGCTAGTGGTTTGGGCTTGGGACTTCCATATTGGAGGTCTCAAGTTCAAAACCCCTTGCCAGCAAAAGCAAGGGGTTTGCCTTCTGGGTCGAGCTCGTCGCACTGGGCTTGCCTAGTGCGGGTTACCTCTTCTATGTGGTTTGCGAGCTATTGCATAGGAGCGGAGGTTTTACCCTGTGCGCACCTAAAGGGTAGCGGCTGCGGGTATCCCTTGTCATAAAAAAAAAAAAAAAGACATTGACATATTCATACCATTAGAGGCTATATTATCTTAATTAGCATCAAATATTTCTTGCTTGATGGAAAATGCACCATCCCGCTATTATGAATTTAATCTAATGATTGTAAATGGTAAAATTAGTATTGCTAATTTCACCCCTTCAGAACACTCGGATTTACCGAAAACAACCTCTTTACCTCCCAAGAGGGAGCAAGGTATTAATTCCAACTTTTAAATATATAGAAGTTATATATAATGACAAGGGACAAAAGTGCAAGCCATGTTCCCAAAGACTAGTTTTTTCAGTAAGTGCATAGCTCAAAAAGTTGATTACCAAAATAAACTTGGTGAGCCACCGCTACATCAATCACACATCAGTCTAAATGGATAAGCTAAACTATATGAACTACACAAAACCTTCTCTATTATACATCCATCAAAACCACTCTTATTTTACTCTAGTATCAATCTACATAACATTCTTCACCCGGATTCGAAACCTACTATACTTCGCATAGCTCACCATGTTTATTAGCTAAAAAATAACCAATTCAGAACGAATATTCAGTAATTTGCATCTGAAACAATATGTACATGAAAAGAGAGAGAAAAGTGAATTACCAGAGGGTTCCGCGAAGAGATCGAGCTTAACTCTCCGACCGGCGGCACCTTTTGCTGCAAGTTTACGCTCTTTTCTCCTCCCCATTGATTGATATTCACAATTTTAAGATTCGATTATTCAGAATTTTCACTTTTCAAATCCGAAAAAAAACCCTATATGCGCTCAATATATATTCTCAATAGACGAAGAAGAGAATGTATATGGGTATTTTTAACTGGATTTGAATAGGCCCATTAGTGATTATGGGCCAAAAGCCCAAATTTCCTAGTGGGCTGGACTGTGGACCTAGTGGATTAGAGCAACAAAAATATAAGCCCATAAAGTTTGGGGGGTTAGGGGTTTTGGGGGGGGGGGGGGGGGGGGGGGTTAAGTGCACCAATAGTCGATCTTTTATACTTCTATTTAAACTATAGTCGAAATTCATAGTTATTTTGTAATTGTGATTTGATAATATGTCAACTTGAATACGATTAGTAGATAAAACGATTTCTTCCTTCTTTTGAATTCCAAATAATTCGATTAGAGGTTAGTACATTGAGATTTAAGATAATTCTTTATTTTGCTCTTCATTACTAATTTTATAGCTTTCGTGGTAGTTTCAACAAGCAGTTCAAGTCTGGACAACGATATCATATCATCATCAGAGATGAGTGGGTGGTTGAGTGTTATCATAAGCTGATTTCGGCTTTGTTGTTAGAGAAATCTGTAGTATTTGTCTGTTCGTGTTTTCGGAGTTTGCTAAGCTAATCAATTTTAAATTAACTTAAACTTACAAATTTAAATTTTCAAAGAACTTTCAACGTGTGAGTTTGAAGTATTGTTGGTTAAAGTTAATCTTAGACAAATATAAAGTTATATTACTAATGTTAAGCGTGTATCCTTTGGTCATTATAAGGAGATCTCAAAGAAAAATTAAAAAAATGAAATTCTCTTTTTATGAAGCCTTTATGATGCCTCGTAGAATTTCAAAAAAGTAATGAAAATAGTATAGTTGGTAAATAAATTTTCAAAATCACATCGTAATACACTTTGTAATTGTGTGCACGTTGGAGTGTCAATTTGTATGTGTATAATTTTTGTTTATTCATAGTAATAAGCTTATTTAATTTCAATCTCAAAATTATTTATTGCTTATACTATACACCAGGATGAGTGAAGGAAACGAAGGCATTATTATAAGAATAAAAGTTTTAAAAAATAAACTCATATGATAAATTACAATTTATAGATAAATTTCAGCTAACGTCACTATATAATTAAAGCAATAGTATTGAAAGTATACGATAGCTTAAGTGATTCATATGTGCCACAAAAAACAAGAATTATCAAAATGAAAGCAAACAAATTAAGGAAAAGGCCAAAGGGTGAGGAACTACAGCATATGTGATTGATTTAAATTGTGGCGGAATAATTGCAATCCTTTCACTCAAAATCAAAAGTCTCAATTTTAATATACTAAATATCAAATAATCATATTGAGAGAGTTATTCCTAGAATGGATCCTGTGATATATAAGTTAAATTTAATCGGACTTCAAACCGAATACGAGACACTGATTTAGGAAAATACATAAATAAATAAATAGAACATGTCAATCTGATAAGTACTAGTTAGACAACTGGCAAACATGAGTCTTTATCATCTTTTGGCCACCAAAAAAGATCATTTATGCAAATTATTACTTCTCACTCTGATATTGACAAAAAATCAACAAAGCAACCATAAAGTTTACAGTAGAAAGATAAAGAGGAACCCCCTTTGCCTTGCATCTCAGTTTTCATCAATTTTTTCTGTCTAAATTCAAAAGGTTAATTTTTTCTTCTTATTATTTTACTTTACCTGTTAAGAAATTCCATGTTTATATTTTGATTCCTTTTGTTATCTGCAATTACTAAATTCATTTGTAATAATTAGTGATTTTGATCATCTGTTGAATTCTTGATTTAATCTGTCTAATGATATACAAGTATAAAGATTGTGTTTTTTGAATGTCCCCTTTTTCTGATTTTGCCAGTTTTGCTAAGTTTTCCAAGATATATTATTGTGTCAGTTTACTGAGAACCAATTGACTTGAAGATTGGCTGATAAAAAAGAAGTATAAAGATTGTGTCTTTGAATGTGCCCTTCTCTTGATTTTTCACCGTTTAAATAAGCTCTCGAAAATATTTTCCAGTATCAGTTTACTCGGAGTTCTTTGATATGCGTTACTTGAGCCGGAGGTTTTTCTGGAATAGAATCTGTATCTTTGTGAGGTAAGGGTGAGGTCAATGCACACTCTACCTTCCCCAGATCCCACATGTGGGATTACACTGGGTATGTTGTTGTTTACTGGGAACCAAATCGACCTGAAATACGAGTATTAAGATTGTCTGATAATTGAAGAAATAAGTATAAAGATTGTGTCTTTAAATGTGCCCTTTTTCTGATTTTCCCATTTTAGCTAAGCTCTCCAAGTTATATTCTTTTATCAGTTTACTGGGAACCAAATTGACCTGAAATACAAGTATAAAGATTGTCTTTAATGTGCCCTTTTCTGTTTTTCTCCTTTTGCTAAGCTCTCCAAAACATTTTCCAGTATTGGTTTACTCGGAAACAAATTGACTTGAAATACAAGTATAAAGATAGTGTCTTTAAATATGCCTTTTTCTGATTTTTATCGTTTATCTAAGGACTAAGATCTCCAAGATATTTTCCAGTATCAGTTTACTCAGAACCAAATTGACCTGAAATATAAGGATAAAGATTGTCTGATAGAAAAAGAGAATAAAGATTGTGTTTTTAAATGTGCCTTTTTTTCTGATTTTCACCGTTTAGCTGAGCTCTGCAAGATATTCTCCAGTATCGGTTTACTCGGAACCAAATTGACGTGAATAGAGTGGAATGCATACAGACGATTCAAATAGCTGATTCCAAATAATTTGGGAATGAAACATAATCAACTGATCAATGTATTGCTTGGATTTTGCTTGTCACCGTTTGCCAATTTTGTTGTAAATTAATTCTACCAATAATGGTTTTCTAGTAGGTGTTTTCTGTTGATTGGGCATTGTTCGACTTAAAACTCACTTAAGCTACATAGATCTTGATCATCATTTTTTTTTTCATTGCCAGTGAAACCTGCAGTGAGTGAAGAGAAATTTTGGAATCACATCAATCAAGTTTAACTTTGTTAACTATCACCAACTATTTAATGAATAATGTGTAAGATATAATATGTTCGCCCCTTATTTATTTTGTAACTAATCAACAAGTAGGCATAAGCTATGGGGCACTCAAAACATTTTATATTCTTTCTATTTGGGGCTGGGTATTTACTTGGAGGTGTTAGCTTGCTATAATCTTTAAGCAATAGATACTTAAAGAAGGAAACGTACACCAATTTAACATCCTTTTAGTTATCATTTTGAGGACTTCGAAGAGAAGCGATCATTGTGCTATTTTTTAGGCGACAAGAGCAAATGTGTCTATTGCAAATGAAACTCCAATTTTTTTTGTGATGATGTAGCAGAATTTCAAATTGCACAAGAAGGGGATAGAATCATAGAGATATTTTATATGACTTTTTGTTGAAATGTTTTGCGTTGACAGACAGAATTAGAGGGTATTTTCTCTTGATTTGTTTATTATTGAGGGGAGGGATGATTTTTAAGTGTGTATTGACGTTGGTTCCTCCTTTTTAGGTGTATAGCTCCAAAGTTGGTAACTATCAAAAAACATTGGCGTTTTACATTCACATTGGCAAAATAGCAAAGAATGGTCGCGAGGTTTGTTCAATTTTTATGTTTGGCTGCTTTGAATAACTTCTTTTTTCTTCCTTATGCATAAAAGACCAAGTAAATTGGCCTCTTCACTCCCTCATACGAACCTGTTTTTTCGGTTGAACAGCTATGGAGAGCTTTGAAGTAGGGGAGACACCATGTCGTATTGCTTTGAGGGGATCAAGCATTTAGGTGCTTCCCTGTCGAAGTGTTGTGAAAGGCAATCAACGGGACTTGAGGATCCTGAGATTCTTGCACGAGAAACAGTTTGTATGCTATCTATCTGGCCACATCTATCCATATATTTATTCGCTATTTGTACAACATTGAATGAAATCATGGAGGATGAAACAAAAGAGATTTCATTTACCTCTAGGTTTGTCTTATATAAAGATTGCCTCATCAGGAAAATATGATTTTCATTTTGAAGATCGTTACAATTTTAACCTTCTCTATTTCACAATTCGTTATGTTTTGTTCTCTTTCAATGTTTGGCAATTCCAATGTTGTCGAAGGTGAGAAAAGGAACATAGAAAAGTAGCTAGTGCAAATTGTAAATAAAGTGTGCGCTTCAATGAAGAAAGGATTGAAAGAATGTCAATTAAATGAAATATATAAAACCCATGTGAATCAAATATTTGAAAAGTTATAGTTTTCAGTTTAGAATTCAGATGAGTGACCAATCTTTCGTATTACAGTTCTAAAATATTTCTTGTTTGAACCTGCTTCTTCAAAACTGTATTTAGGTGTTGAAGCACTCACCTTAACGCCTTGGTGCGTCAGTGAGATTGAGTGTGCCTCAATAGGCCTGCAATGACACTGATCATTGGTCAATCGTTAAAGATTTGGAACATAGATTCTTTGAAATGTGTGTTCTAATCATATGTTTACGAGTTTTATGACTTCCCTGCTTGCATAAATGTTGTGATTGGAGTTTGGACATGTATAATTTTTCTTCTTGTTGCAGTTAGCGTAAGTGAGATCGAAGCTCTTTATGAGCTTTTTGAGAAGATTAGCAGCGCAGTGATTGATGATGGGCTGATCAACAAGGTTTGGTCTCACATTTTCATAAGATTACAACCTTTGGAAGTTGGTGTAGCTACGTTTGGATATGGGGTGTTAATTGTAGAACTCTTTAGTTACTTTTCTAGCATAGATATTTAATATATCTTATACTGAGCGTTGCTTTTGAATTTGAACTTTTGATTATATTATAGGAAGAGTTTCAATTGGCATTGTTCAAGACGAGCAAAAAAGAGAGCTTGTTTGCTGACAGAGTGAGTTCTCCATAGATACAATAGCCTTTTCATATTATCTACGTTTAGTAGAATTGGATACAGTAAATATGATGTTTCCTATAGATGAAATCAGTTATCGTACTGTTGTTATTGCTACTCAGTTGAAGCCGCAGTAGTAAATTTTTGATACACGTTTATAGGGTTGAGTGTGGACCACATGATACAACAAATTTTTATTGTCTTCGTTTCTTCCTACTCTTAACACATTTTACTGTAGGTGTTTGACTTGTTTGACACAAAGCACAATGGACTCTTGGGATTTGAGGAGTTTGCCCGTGCACTCTCTGTTTTCCATCCAAATGCCCCTATCGATGATAAGATTGAGTGTATGTTACTTGCGTACATGAATAATGATGATTACCTTCAATTTGTGTGTATCAACTTCTAATGATATATTCCTATTATAGTTTCTTTTCAGCTATATGATCTCAAGCACCAAGGCTTCATCGAGAGGCAAGAGGTAAACCTTTCATATAATGAAGTGGTTAATTATACATGTAAACGCAAGTCTATTTTAATGTATTTGGCTTACTCTTTCTATGTTCTATTTTTAGGCAAAAAAGTTATTGGGTAGCAGTGTGTTGTATTCTTGTCCGTTCATATTAGTAGTCGTATTAATGCCCTTGTAGTTTTGTGTCCTTCGATTTTTGTTACTACATGTTGCGTATTGTTTTGTTGTAGTTTCTCTTCTGTTACTATCTGTTTTTTTGTTATAAGTTATTGTTTTTTGTACTTCTGTTACTTCTTTGCTGGGCTGCCTTGGACTGTTTTTATTTGAGTTGAGGGTCTATCGGAAAAAAACATCTCTTCCTCTGAGGTAGGGTAAGGTCTACATACACTCTACCCTTCTCAAACCCCACTTTGTGGAATTACACTAGGTTTGTTATTGTTGTTGTTGTATTTGTGGGAAATGCTTACATTTCTTTGCAATTTTTGTTGCCCACTTTACGCTTTTCCTGAAGTGTGTAGCATAAAAAAAGATATGGCATCTATAATACAGGTGAAGCAAATGGTGGTTGCTACACTTGCCGAGACTGGTATGAACCTTTCAGATGAAATTATTGAGAGTATAATCGACAAGGTATTGACCACTAAATACTATTCTTGCTCTATTTTTCATTTGAAGGAGTGGTTTTCCTATTCGTATCTACTTAATAAGAGACATTTGCGCTACTACTTTCCCCTTATTATTTAGCTTGTTGTTCATCTCATTGAGGTTTAGGCCCTTTCGGATTCTATCTTCCTCAAGGGTGGTGTCTCAGTTGCTTAGAACTATAGGAAAAAGTAGCAACTTCAATCCCTAGTGGTCATCGTAACATGATATCATATCGATCTGGTGGTGATACTTAAATTTGTCACTCTTAGAATCACAACAATTCTTAGAGACAATTTTGTGATTTGAAGTGTGAACATATCTGGGAATTAAGGATGGAACCATCTGTGCTTTGTTGCTTCCATAAACTAAATACCAACTGTGTTTGGTGTCTTCGGGAGGGTCTGTAAGAAAGCAATTGAGAATCTGTTTCAACTTCTAAGTTTGGATTCTCTTCTTCAAGTCTCCCCTGCATTGTGCCACAAAATGGTGTAGCATCTACTATCTAACGAATTAGCTATATTGGGAATTCGCTAATTTATTGGCCACTGTTGAGTCTGTTTTTCCCGGTGGGGTTGGATGGTAGCATTGCAGGATTTAGCTTTTTACTGCTTAACCGATATCTGCCTTTTTGGGCAGACTTTTGAAGAAGCTGATACCAAACATGATGGAAAGATTGATAAGGAAGAGTGGAGAAATTTGGTCATGCGACATCCTTCACTTCTGAAGAATATGACCCTTCAGTATCTCAAGTAAGTGGCACGCTGTATAGTGACATCACTTCGTTTAAGATCATGTTATGTAGATTGTGATTCTGTCGGCAACATATTCATGGCATAGATTGACCAAAATGGTGTCTCTTCACTTAAACAGGGACATTACAACTACATTCCCAAGTTTTGTCTTTCACTCAAGAGTTCCGGATACTTGATATGGAATTGCTAAGCAGAACTGCCCACAGAAGTAGTCTTTCAAGAGTTTCCGGATACCTAATATGGAATTGCTAAGCAGAATTGCCTTGCCCAGAGAAGTAGTCTTTCATGAGAGTTGCAAGTTCAACGAAGAATTTGTAGTAGTAGTATTTTGCTCATCTATTTAATGTTTCGACGTTTTCATGATTTGTTATTCTTTATTAGAGCAGTGTGGCTGTGTATTCTTGTTACCTCTGAAAAAATGCTAAGTTTCCTTGTTGATGCTGCTCATTATTTGGTGTCCTTCTGACTAATTTTTTGATATGGGATTTCTATCTGTTGGATTATGTTAGTTTATTCCTTTAATTTCCTTTCTGGTAATGAAAATGTTTCATAAACACTCTGAAAATGAATGTAACATACTATGAAGTATATTACATCATGGTCTTCTCCCCTAAAAAATTTCCCCTTTGCTTAGATAATCAAACCATCAATAATAGTAACGTATATATGAAACAGTAAGCAAAGTGAATTTTATTGTATAGTCTTTGGCAAAATTGTTATCGGGAAAGAAAGAACTTGAGTGCGTGTGTACAGTTGTGAGTGTAGTATAATATCTACTAGTAAGGCGAAAGAGATGAATTTATATTCTAATCCTAAGTAACATCTTCCGTGTTGCACTCCCCTCATAATGACTAGTAGACTTTGGTTCGTAGAGTAGAGGCCTCCTGAAGACTACTTAAATGTCGTTTCCTAAATTAACTTGGAAGGGTAGAGAATACACATACATTTTCCCTACCTCGAGGAGGTAGGAGGTTTACGTACTGAAGGGGATATATCTTTTGCTAGCACACATCATTTACATCCGCCCCCGAAGGAAGTGCAGCTCCAATTTCTAGGATATGAAACAAAAATGGTTAGTTATACTAATATGCACGGGCATCCGCCATCTAGTAGTATTTATATTGACTGAATTGCCTTCAAGCGACCTTCTCACAGTCTAAAAAACAAGCAGCAATGAAGAAATTTTAATAAAAGCAACATGAAGTACTCGTTTTCTTCAGTTCATAACCAAACTCTCTCATACTGATGATAGGCAAAAGAAGTTCATTCTCAAAGAAAAAAAAGAAAAAAAAAAAGAGGAAAGACGGAACTTCAATAGCCACCAAACCAAGAAAATCTATAGAAAAATATTAAATGGACTGATAGACTAAAAACTTAATCGACTTCTTCCATTTTGCTGCCCTCGGCATCTGCTTCAGGATCCTCAAGTGCGGGCATATCGACATCAACATCACCGGCATCCTCGTCAATGCTGAGCCCAAGTTTCAGCATTCTGTGAATTCTATTGCCAAAGGTGTTGGGCTCATCGAGGCTGAAACCTGAGGTGAGAAGAGCAGTCTCAAACAGCAACATTACTAAATCCTTGACGGACTTGTCATTCTTGTCTGCATCAGCCCTCTTCCTGAGCTCATCCATGATGGCATTTTCTGGGTTTATCTCCATGGTCTTCTTGCTAGACATGTATCCAGCCATGCTAGAATCCCTGAGTGCTTGCGCTTTCATGATTCTCTCCATGTTGGCAGTCCAGCCATACTCACCAGTAACCAAACAGCAGGGAGAGTCCACAACACGGTCTGAAACGACGACCTTTTCAACCTTGTCACCAAGCACATCCTTGATCACCTTGCAAAGGCCCTCAAACTTCTCCTTCAATTCTTCTTTCTTTTTCATCTCATCCTCACTTTCATCGAGTTTGAGACCTTCCTTGGTAGCAGAAACAAGCTTTTTACCCTCAAATTCCTTCAGCTGACCGATACAGTACTCATCAATAGCATCAACCATGTAAAGAACCTCATAGCCCTTCTTCTTCAACTTCTCAAGGAAGGGTGAGTTCTCAACAGCCTTCTTGCTCTCACCAGTAATGTAGAATATATCATTCTGGCCTTCCTTCATCCTAGTCACATAGTCCTTCAAGCTGGTCATTTCATCACCACTCTTCGTGGAATGGTACCTCAGCAACTCAGCAATCTTGGTCCTGTTCTGTGAATCTTCATGGATACCAAGCTTGAGATTCTTTGAGAAAGCCTCGTAAAACTTGTCATAGTCTTCCTTGTTCTCGGCAATTTCAAAGAATAGCTCAATGCACTTCTTAACCAAGTTCTTGCGAATAACCTTCAAGATCTTGTTCTGCTGTAACGTCTCTCTAGAGATGTTAAGAGGAAGGTCCTCAGAATCCACAATACCCTTCACAAAACTCAGAAATTCAGGAATTAACTCTTCACAGTTATCCATGATGAACACACGACGAACATACAACTTGATGTTGTTTTGTTTCTTTTTTGTGTCAAAAAGGTCAAAAGGAGCCCTTTTTGGAACAAAAAGAACAGCTTTAAACTCCAACTGGCCCTCAACAGAGAAGTGCTTCACAGCCAAATGTTCCTCCCAGTCATTGGTCAGACTCTTGTAGAATGCAGCATATTCTTCCTTTGAGATCTCCTCTGGCTTCCTCATCCAAATAGGTTTCTGTTTGTTCACCAATGACCACTCATTAGTTACTTCCTTAATTTTCTTCTTTTTCTTCTCATCCTTCTCTTTTTCCTCATCAACCTCCTCTACCTTTCCTTCCTCATCTTTCTTCTCCTCTTCATCCTCATCATCAGAGATCTCCTTTTCAATGGTCTTCTCAACCCAAAGAGAGATTGGGTAACTGATGAACTCTGAGTGCTTCTTAATCAGATCCTTGAGCCTGCGCTCTTCGAGATATTCAAGCTGATCCTCCTTGAGATACAGGATCATTTTTGTACCCCTACCAAGGCTCTCACCAGAAGTGTCCCTGGTGACAGTGAATGAACCACCAGCTTGAGACTCCCACACATACTGTTCATCATCATTGTGCTTTGTAGTCACAATAACCTTCTCAGCCACCAAGTAAGCTGAATAGAAACCAACACCAAATTGCCCAATCATGCTAACATCTGCACCGGCTGCTATAGCTTCCATGAATTCCTTGGTCCCTGACCTTGCAATTGTACCAAGGTTGTTCACAAGATCTGCAATAATACAAATGATATGAGTATTATTGCAATGCAATGCAAATTCAGCACCAAATAATTCTACAAATGATTCAACTTACCAGCCTTTGTCATCCCAATACCACTGTCAATGATGGTCAAGGTATTGTTGGTCTTGTCAGGAATAATGTGGATAAAAAGTTCAGGTTGAGCATCTAGCTTGCTCTTGTCTGTCAAGCTCTCAAAGCGAATCTTGTCCAAAGCCTTCAATATATAACCAAAGCATAATCAGGCATCTCGCATATTTGAAACACTACGCGTGCGTGATTAGCCCATATCATACAATAACATATTACAGACAAAGTCTTCAACAAATATAATACTGATTTGTAAGACACTCCAACACACCCACAATATTGGTTCACATAGGGAACACACAGAAAGTTAAAGCTATACTAATGTATATCAATGAACAGAATCCTCTTCAGCTCGGTCAATCAGGTACAAGCAAATGACAGCTACTAGGATTTAAAACATTCCATGGAAACGGAAACATCTAGTAGGCATTTGGACATGAATTGGTTGATACTTGAAAAAAAAATTGAATTCAAGTTTAAAAAAGATATTTGGAAGTTTAGTTGTGTTGGAACATGAAAACACAGTTGGAATTTTTGAGTAAAACTTGGAAGGGTTAAAATAATGGGCCAATTGAAAAAACAAACACCTTCCGAAATAACAGGTCAAGCAAAATTATAAACAGAGAGGGATATCATGATAATATCTCTGCCTATGAAAAATGCCATCTTCAGAAACAACAGAAAACACAATTGTATGGATTTGCAACCAATTCATGCTATGAACGAGACTGGCTTTGTGATATTATCTCAAACAAAACAAAAATAACTTAATTCGTCGAAAACAACCTTAAGCAGCAGACAATATAGTTTACTGAGTAGAACAATGACTCAACAATCCAAGTAATAGCTAATGACTCAACAACCCAAGTAATAGCTAATAGCCCCTAACTAACATCAATTGAGCCCGATGCTATTGTTTCTTCAAACAACTAACAGTAATCCCCGGTCAAATAACATTAAAATCTAAACCAATCATGCATCTAACATAAATAAAATCAACTATAAAGAGCATCCACGATCAAACATCATCACATCACAAATAATCAACATATGAGCAAAACCAACTATAGACTATGTCCTCAGTCAAACTACTAACGTTAATTCACAAACTATCACAATCTATTATATGAGCAAAATCAATTATAGAAAGCTTCTGCGACCAAACAAACAACATCAAATCACAGACAATCATGCATCTGTTGTAAACCAACTACCACTAAAACATCTTCCGCGCACAATTCTCCAGGCAATGAAAAACATCACACCCGCGAATGCAAAATTTCAAATAAAAAAGAGAGATAGAGGGAGAAATCAACTCACATCGGAAGAATTGCTAATGAGTTCCCGAAGAAAGATCTCCTTGTTACTGTAGAACGTATTGATGATTAAACTCAAAAGCTGGTTAATCTCAGCCTGAAAAGCAAACGTCTCCGTATCCGCCATTACAGATCTGCGATGCTGCTGCTAAACTTCAACGACGATAGAAGAAATCGAGCAAATCTGAGAGAGCAAAAAGTGAAGAATATGCAGATCTTGCTGAAGGAGTTAAGGTGTTTATATTGGGTTTGTTTGGGGTTTCTGGAATGTTCTTATTTTGATTAGTTTCAAATAGTTTAGGAGTTTTAAAAATTAAAATTCAAGTGGGCGGGCTGTTTTTGCGTCACCATGCTGACGCTGCTCTTTCGTTTTATTTGTGGTTTTGGACGGTGCAATTTTAATCAAATTTATTAAATTATGGGTCGGAACAGAGAAAATGTACGAATGTATAATTGTGACTAGGTATAAACTATTTAAGTAAAGGTACAAGTAGTAGAACAAAGAAGTATTTGGTGGGATGATTAAATAGGGCATGTCGTAATTTTAATTTATCGAGGACATGATCATAGATAGGAGGTTGTGGATTAAACAAATTTACGAAGAGTGTGAATAAGTAGCAGTATGTTCTCTTGTGTCTATACTAGTAGTCATAGTATTGTTTTTATAGTTTTTTATCCTCTAATTTTATCTTATCGTTGGTTGTTTATGGTATTATTTTATTGTAAGGATCGTCCTGTTTGTTACTAATTGTCGTTTCTTGTACTTTTGTTTTTTTTTTATGAATTGTTTTTCTTCGAGCTAATGGTCTATAAGAAGCCATCTC